ATATATATATATATACTGTGAAATAAAGGTATCGGAAAAAAATCGACTGTGTGGAAACAAGTTGCCAAAACAACCTAAAGGCCAACCTTCTTTCCGCTGTTACTTAATGATAATAGCTGCCGAGACCTCTAGTCTCAGTCTATTTTTCACCGAAACTAATCACTGAATTAGGATCGGTTGCTAGTATAGAGAACGCTCCAGTTGGCCGATTTGTGAGAGGGTAGCCTACAAACTGTACATGAATTGTTTTGTTGGACTGTATCTATGATAATACGCCTTCGGGCTCTGTGGTATGACACTCGCGAAAAGACAGTTCTTTTTTAAATGCATTTCAATAACAATGAACGGTTTACCTCCAGGGTCCTTTTTGTATCTGTCATACAGCTCATTAAGATCAGGCGGCGGTACACCTTCAACTGGCAGTGCACAACCTTGAACACTCTAAAACAAGACACAAATGAACTTATACTTACATTCACATTTCTTTCGATACAGGTACTACGTTTTACTACTCTCTGGGTTTACTGCTACAGCTAGACGGTCAATAGATTAATAATAAAGCAAATCTCATTAGGGAGTGGTGAATTTATGGCGTAAGCGCACTCCCCAACTCCCAACAAAAGAAAATCGCACCCCAGGCGCTACCCCGTCCCTCTGAATTCACTGAGCAAAGAAAATTTCACTAAAGTATTTAACAATCACCTCATCTAGCCTTTTTTTTTTAAATTGGACTACAGTTTGCTAAGCTTCGGTAGCTTCTAGCAAGCATAAGTATACGGCGGTACTACCGTGCATGACAACCGTTCGCCTGCTGTGTTAAGATGTACAATTTTCCGGGGAAAAAATGTACTTCGTACCTGAATTGTAGGCCTACCCAGGAGCAGAACAATGGTGAGTAAGTTACGACAGTACATCTTTTACTGTAGATACAGCGGTTTAAACAAAAATAGTCTCCACACGTATGCGTCAAAGTAGTATAGTAATACCATGCACACCCTAAAGTAATTTTGTTGTCAGGGTTGGACTATTCCATTTTTGTCATCGAATGAATGATCATCCCTGGAATATGTCAATAAGGTATAAAACATGTCTATTGTTATTACAATTGAAATTTAAATTGAAGGCAGAATATTTTTTTAAAGTTGAGTTATATGATTTATTTAAGTTTTGAAGCTAGCGATACGGCACGTAGGTAGTTCTGAAGGGAACTGTTGTAGTTGAGAAAGTCTCGACGTTTCGATTGAGTTGCTTCAATCGTCTTCAGGAGAAGCTATAGCAATTTCACTAAATGACAAAGTCTCTGTAATCATACACTATGATTTATGTAACTTCTCATTATCCATTTTGTGGCAATATTCATACAAGAAAAATGAGCGAATTCAAAGACTTCAGACCAGTACAAACTATATTGCTCAAGTATTGCATGAACACTCAACCTACTAATATTTGTGGGTGTCTAGAAAACTAAGATCTAGAAAACTAAGACCTAAGATATCTTAGTTTTCTAGATCTAATTACGGAATTTATAGGCTAAAAATAAAAAATTCGTAATTGTCATTTCGACATTCACATTTTGAATGATTTGAATTTTAGCGCGGGGGGGGGGGGCGTTTATGACGTGGCATACGGAGACTTTGTCATTTAGTGATATTGATAGTCGTA